ATGCATGCCGGCTGGGCGGGGCCGCCGCCGCCGCCGCCGCCGCCGCGCGTCATTGGCTGCGCCGAGCCGCCGCCGCGCGTCATTGGCTGCGCCGAGCCGCGTGGCGGCGCCAGCCTAGACTCGGGGCGGGGGCGCGCGGCGGGGGGCGGGGCCTGCGACTCTCGGGGACGCGACCGGCCGCGGAGCAGCTCGCAGGGCAGCAAACAGCGGGGTGGGGGAGGCGGTCCCGGCAGTTTCCCTCCTTTTCTCTTTAGTCCCCCAACCCATTTGCCTCCTCCTCTTAACGCACTCCCATTTACCTGTCGGTCTGTGCTGCTAATCTTAGGTGTGCACAGGAGAAAGCCCCGGTTGCCACAACACCCCACCAAGGCAGATTCACAGAAGTAGCACAAGAAGAGTCCCCAGGGGTGGAGACCCGCCGCAGCTGTGCAGTGTTTGTTTTCTTACCCGAGAGCAACCTGGCCCACACACGCAAGTGCAAGCTAGTCATCCTGCGAGAAGAAAAGGTGAGGGGGCTACAGCAGAGTGGCCACCCGCAAAGTAATAAAAGAGGAAGAGTTTTTAGACACAGAGATGAAACTGCAACAGCTAAGAATGGAGCAGAAGCAAGAAGTGCATCAGCAAGCTGAGGCAGAATAAGAAAATCCTGAGGGAAGGGGAAATGAGGGAACTCCCTGGAAAAGGGGGACCGTGAGGTGCGGATGAGCTAGAAGACGCTCTGCACCAGTGGAAGCAGTGGGGCGCTCAAAGCACTTTAAGTTACTTGAGGAAGACATGAGTAGAAACCCTCTGAAGGAACCACGCGACCGAGTAACTCTGAAAGAGACAAAAGGCCAGTCAAGTAAGGAAAAAGATGCCAAAGTCTGCAACAACAAACGGAGACGAGCGGTAGTTGTCCGAGATTCCTTGCTGCGGGGGAAGGAAAAACACGCATGTCGGGAAAGCCCTTGGAACCATCAGGTGTGCCGTCTCCCTGCAGCAAAGATCAAAGGTACAACTAACAGACCCCCAGCGCTCATGCGTCCTACCGATACACAACCCACAGACACACATCCCTCCCTTCTTTGTACATGTGGGAACAAACAATGCTGCCAGCAGGAAATTGCATTAAACTTCAAAACCTCAGGGAAGAAAATTAAGAGCATTGGGGCCCAGATCGTTTTCTCCTCAATCCTTCCAGTTTGCAGAAGAGGAAAAGACGGGGAAATCCAGGCTACAGTGGTGGTGCCGCAAAGAGACGGGGATTCTGGAAGCACGGGCTCCGCTTCCTGGAAGACGGACTGATGGCAAGTGATGGGCTGCACCTTACGAAGAAACGAAAGGGATGTGCTTGGCCACAGTATGAAGAAATTTATCAGGAGGGCTTGAAACTGAATTCTACAGGGGAGGGAAATGTACATCTGACAAAGGATTATGTACTGCAACAGTGAAAGCAATTCTAGCTCAACTTAACACTGGCCTCCCAAAATACACAGGAAAGAAGCCAGGGAATAATGCATGTGTCCTCAGACATCTATACACCGATGTTCACAGGATGGGGAACAAACAGCAGCATGACCAGATTCTCCAGGTACTACACTCGCCACTTGGCAGACACACAAAAGGAGGCAGGAGCCACTGGAAAGAGGAAAAGAGACTTTAATGCAAAGATTTGGTGGGGGGGGATCATGTGCCAGGTCCAGCCTGTCTGTAAGGCCCCCAGGGCTGCCCGTCCCTGGGAGCAAGCAGTCGGTGCAGCAGCAGCAGCAGCAGCGGGAGACGAGCTCTTTCCTACGCGTGGGAGGAATCCCCTCAGTGGAGCTTGCGCTCAGCCGGGGACAAAGACATCGGCGAAGGCCACGTCCACGGCCGAAAGTCCACAGGCGGCGCATGCAGCCCCGCCCCTGGACTGACCCGGGCACCAAGCCCTGGGCCTTGGCACTTGCCACGAGGGAGCGGCTTTCCTCAGCCCGGGCCGGCCCAGCCCTGCTCCTCGACCCCACAGGGAAAAGCCAGGATGCCGCCCCCTTGCCAGGGATGGCCGGCAGACGCAGCCAAAGGCCAGCCAAGGGCCGCTTCGCCATGGATGACCCGAGCGGCCGCATCCTGTCGTTGCGGGGCAGCGAGAAGCATGGCTCGGCGCCCGGCAGGCAGCTCCCCTGTGCTCGTGCTGTGGGTGTCGGAAGGCTGGAGCCGGGCAGTCAGACGGCACCACAAAATGGGAACACGCAGCGCGATCCTTTCTGCTGCCCAAGAGGGAAAGGGCTGCCCCTCGAGCCAAGGGAGCAGCTCAGCCGACGGGAGCGCGACACATGCAGAGGACCCGAAGGCTGTCGTGGCCGCCCTGTCCCCCCAGCCTCGTGGGCGTCAGCCGTAGTGGTAGACGAAATCGTAGCTGCTGGGCTCCTTGGGGACGGGCGGCGGCGCCTCCGGGATCTGGATGTTCTCCAGGTCGAGCAAGCGCAGCTTCATCTCCATGCTGAGCAGCGTGTCCAGGTCGCTCCTGCTCAGCTCGCTGGCCATGTCCTTGCCCAGCAGGGCACTGAGGCCATCGATCCAGACACAGTACTGCGGGAGGAGGAAGCGCCACCTCAGCGCGGCAGACGGGGGCGCCCGCGGGGGCCTTCCACTCACCCAGGCTGCCCTGCTGCTGGAGGCAGACCCCCGCCCCGGCACAGGGAGGGGGCAGCGCAGCAGGACGGGGAAGCCCCCGGGAGGAAACCGCCCTCTGCGCACTCAGCTCACGCTCGCCTCTGGCGGCGGGCAGGGCCCGTCTTGTGCCAGTGCCAGGAAATGATGCGCCATGCAACAAATTGGCATTGACCATCACTCTCTTCCATTAGGGCAGCTTAAATCTGCCATTTTCAGAGGAGCACTTTCTCTGCTCCTCTCCCAGCCACCAACTTTTTCTAAAGGCAGAACAGCCCCAATTGGTCCTGAACCCTTAACAATGTTTAACAATGCTTTCCTGCACCTCCCTCGTCTCTCCTACGCCTGCTTCAAAAATGAGAGGCCAAAGTTGTGCTGTGCACTTCCCAGCACAATCGGGAACACGCTGCCCTTGGGACGCGACCGGTGCCTGGCGGGCAAAGGCAAGGCAGGAGAGGGCGGTGTCTGGAGCAGGGCCTGGGCTCTGCATCTTCTCTCCCCCCGGAATCCCCCCCCCCCGCCCACTGCAGCAGCAGCAGCAGCCTGCCTCCCAGAGGCGGGTGACAGCTGGCCAGCCCAGAGCAAGGGCAGAGGTTGGGGCTGGGAAAGGATGCAGGCCAGGAGAAGGGACAAGTGCAGCCCTCTCACCTCGTATTTATTGGGTGCAATGAAGTTCAGGGTTTCATCTGGGTCATAAAGGATGGAGAAGGCCAACTCCAGAGCCTCCTGGGAGTTGGGGAAGGAGAGCAAAAGGAAGCTAGTTAGCACAGCGACCCCAAAGCACCCTGGCCACCGCCCAAAGGGAGCCCTGGCCAGGACCACCCCCGCCCTCGCATTCCTCGGCCGGTACCTTGTTCTGCTTCAGTGCTCCCTTCTCCTTCATGTGGGGACAGTCCTTCCCAGTGACAATGGCCTTGATGTCCGCGACAGGGACTAGCAAGCGAGCAAGAGGGTGCGTCACTCACGGGAGTGGAAGAATCCCGAGCTGCCTGCCCACAGACCCCCACGGCCACAGGTGGTCCTGAGGTCCCATGGGCTGCTCCTGGCTTTCTGGTACAGTGGAACCAGGGGCCGGCCACTGCACCCCTCCCACCCCCCCCCCTGGTCTGGACCCAGCCCAGAGGTGTGCGCCCCATCCCCACACGCACGTACTCTTCTCCTGCAGTGACTCGAAGGTCACCTCTCCCTGGGCGTTGTCCTCCAGGTCGCCGTAGTGCAGCACCTTGTGGTTCAGGGCCAGGCGGCAGTACCAGAAGCGCTCTGCAACACACAGCACGGCCTGCCTCGTGGAAACGCCAGGAGCACTGCCCCACGGCGTCCCCACGGGGCGTTTGGCCTGGGCAGCTTGGCCCATCAGGCACGGGCCCTCCCGGCCCCAGCTGCCCAGTCCTTGACTGGGGCACCAACGGCCCTCGGGACAGTGGCGAGCGCCCTTGCACAGCGCACCTTGCCGCCTCCGATTCCCGATCTTGCGGAAGCTGCTCCCTTCGCAGAGGCGGTTCAGGCGCTGCTGCTTGATGAGCTCCAGGATTTCTGGCCGGATCTTCTCTCGCAGCTCTCTGGGGAAGAGCTTACCAGTGAGCGGCCTCCCAGAAAAGCCTCCCAGCACCCCAGGGTGCTGCTGGCCGCCACCAGCCCTCGCCCTCCTGCAGGCACTCACACGACAGGCGGCGACTGGAAGTCGTCCTGGCTCATCCGCTCGGACTGCCGCAAGCGCAGGACCTCCGAGTAGCTGAGGCTGCGCAGTTTGCTTTTAAACTGGTCCAGGGAGCTGGGCCTGGAGGGCAGCGCCCGGGTAATCTGCTCCCGCACCACCTGCATCACCTGGTGCGAAGGAAGCGACCAGACTGAAGAGCAGCGATGGCCGTGCCCCAGGCGGAGCCCCCCCCCCAGGGCTGACCACCCCCTCATGCAGCGCCTGGACCAGAGCTCTGGAGCACCCACCTTGTTGAAATCCTCCGCAGTCGCTCGCATCTCTTTCCAGGTTTTGTTGAGCAGCTGGATACAAATGGTGAAGAGCTCCTCAAACGCACGGTCATGCGTGAAGAACATGGGGTGATAGTCATTCCGGCCCTCGTTGGCTTTTCAGAGAAAGGAAGAACAGGCTGCCAGAGCGGCACAAGGCCTGCAGTGCCCCCGAGCCACGCCTGAGGTGCGCGATACGGTGCAATGAGCAGCAGCAGCCCACAGGTTTAATGGTGCCGGAGCATCACGGGCGTGATTCTGCCTGTGGCTCTGTGCACACGGGGACTGTCATGGGCGTAAACAGCACGGTCAACTCAGAAAAATGCGAAGTAGAGTCCCATGCCAAGTGGGAGTCCAAGAAGGGTGGGGAGTTAAAAAGGAAACTCTAAAGGCATGATTACAATCCATTTCAACGAGGAAAAGGGACACCAACAACAGAAGAAGACCCGTGGCTTCACAAAAAAAATGTTAAGATGATCTGAAAACAAAATAGGGCATGTACAGGAAATGGAAGGAAGGCCAGGCTGCGAAGGAAGAATACAAGCTGGTGGCACAGAACTGCAGAGAAGGCATCCAGCAGGCTAAAGCTAGGAATGAAAAGGCCTCAACTTTTCCACTTGGAGGAAAAACCCCAAGTGCATCATTTCAGGATGGGGAGCAGCTGGCTCAAAAGGACTGCACTCTTGGGGTTGTTGTGCGTCACAAGCAGATTGAGTCAGCCACGCGGTGTGGCTGCAAGAGGGGCAGACTGGGCCGCACTGGCAGAAGCATCGCTGCCGAACCCCGTGGCGTGCGTGTTCCCCTTTGCTCAGCACTGGCGGGGCCGCCTCTGGAGCCCTGCACACAGCGCTGGGCACCACAGCTCAGGGGAGACGCAGACAAGCTGGGGAGGGCTCAGAGGAGGGCTGCAAGGATGGCCCCGGCCTCCCCTGTGAGGAGAGATGGAAGGAACTGGGCATGTTCAGGCCCGAGAAGAGAAGATTGAGGGGAGATGTGCTAGCAAGGACTTGAACGGGCTTGTTAGAGCAGTTCAACGACGGGGCCCATGACCTGGGCAGATTGTGGGCCCCCCCATTAGCAGCATCCAAGACGCAACTGGACAGCCACCTGAAAGAGATGCTCTGACTTGCACTGAGGCGGGGCTTGGCCCCGATTGCCCTCTGGCCCGTTCCAGCTCTGCTATTCCATGACTCTGTGACTACACGGCTTTTGGTTGGGCCAAACATTGCCGTTTGCTTAGAGCAGGAGCGGACAGCCTGGGCCTCCGGAGCTGTTGTGCCCGGCCTGCCCCGACTGCTCCCTGCGGACCCTGTTGGCCAAGCCCAGTAAGACGGAGCCTCAGGGCCTCGAGTGACTGAGCCCCTGCTTGGCGGAGGCAGCTGGCCTGTGGATGCCCGGCAACACTCAAGGGTGGCGAGATCTGCCCCGAGACAGGTGGCCCCCACAGCCCGCTGCACTTACGAAGCTCCCCGACCTGCAGGATCTCACACAGCATCTTGGTGAGCTCGATGGCGCTGCGCCCAAAGGGACACTCGTGCTTGTCCTCCCGGCTGCTGTTCTCCAGCACAAGCTGTGGGGAGAAGGAGATGTGTGGGGGGACGGCAGGGGGCTGGCCCTCGGGGAGGTGCCGCTGCCTCTTACCCGCACGTAAGTGTCCTGGTGGCACTTGGCGAGGTACAGCATGTTGTCCAATGCCAGTATCCCAGGCGGGGTCTGGGTGAAGTCCGAGGCCGGGCTGAGGTGGTTCTGCGCGAGAGAGGAGCCGCCTGGGTCCCGGGAAGGGAGCCGGCCGCTTGCCCAGCCGTCGGCAGGCCGCCCCGTGCCGGCCCGGCCCCCGCCCTCGCGAGACACGCGCAGCGCCCACCGTGAAGCCCAGCAGCCTGTAGTCCTTGGCATACGTGGCCTTGCGCTTCTCCGCCCCGGGGCCGGGGAGGCTGCTGCTCTCGGACTCGGCATCGAAGGCGATTCTGCGCAGCTCGAAAATGCTGTCCCGCTGTGCCTGACCGGGGATGGGGAAGCAAGCGGAGGGAGGGCCTGAGCAGGGCCCGGCGCGCAGGGGTCTCTGCCAGGCGCCCCCTGCTCCGGCATGCGCACCAGCTGCCGAGTGGGCCAGGCCGGCCAGTCACCTGGTCGCTGGGGTCCATCTTGGTCATCATCCGTTCTTCCAGGAGGTTGAAGGTCAGGACCTGAAGCACGTACAGCTGGTGGGCCATCTCTGTCTTGATGGGGCGGTTGCCTCGGATGATGTGCTGTGTGGGAGAGCCGGGGAGGTGAGGAGGCGACGGAAGCCCCGCGGCCCCCTCGCCACCCACCACCGGGGTGAGCAGCGTCGCCCGCAGCCACTGTCCTGCCGGCCGGCCCGCACCAGCCGAGCCTGGCGGGGAGGAGAGGCTCCCCGGTGCCCTTACAGGGCAGCCGCCGGAGGAGCAGAGCTACCTCACGGGGCCTTCCGAGGCAATGCGCATGGAGCCCCCCCAGCACCTCCACGACGGCTCAGGAGGGGCAGCATCGGGCCCATTTCCCCACCCGGCACCCACCGTCAGGATGATGGAGCGCAGGTGCTTCTGGGCAAAGGCGTTCGCCATCTCCTGCGAAGCATGGAGACACAAAGGCAGGGTAGGAGGGGGCGGAGCCCGTCTTGCCCCACCTGTGCTGGGTGAGGAGGCCCCGCCAGCCAGCCCCTCGAGCAGGGACAGCTCTGCCCTCTGGGACACGGGACCGCTCCCTGCATCTGTGCAACGGGGAAACGGGCAGCTCCCAAGACAGCCTGCAGCTCGGCCGGGGCGGCCGTTCCTAAGCGGACAATGCAGCCCCAGCACGGCCCACCAAAGCTGCAAGGCCCTCCTGGGTTCGGGGCAGGGGCGCCACTGTTCCTTCCTGCACACCCCCGGCACCGAGGCAACAAGTGACCCGAGAGAGAGACAAGCAAGCAGAAGCAAGCCCCTTGCGGACCCCCGAGGAGCGGCATGGCCGGCCCTGGCGCCTCCCAGGCAGAGCCACCCTTGTAAGTCTAAGAGGAAGCATCGCTTTCCCCGGGCCGCTGTTCAGCCCCCAGCGGTGGCCTGGAAGCTTCGCAGGAGTGGCGGCAGCGCTCTCCGGCTGCTCAACAGCACAGCCAGGCCAATGCCTGCACACCTTCCCTTCCCTGGCATGGGCTCGTACTTACAGTGCAGGGCAGGTCTAGAGGGTTCAGCAGCTTGCCCTGCTGGCAGAAAGCAGAAAGGCACAAGAAGGAGGCGATAGAGGAGCCGGCCGGGTGCCCCGGGAGCCTTCCAGGACAAGGAGACTGCCCTCGCGGGCCAGTCTCCCCGGGGCCTGGCCCAGCCGTGGCAAAGGCTTGCTGGCCACACCTGTCGGGCTGACTGCTGCCGGATGGGGGTGAATGGAGGGCCGGCCACCCACCTGTCTCTTGTCCTCGGGTGCTTTCAGGAAGAGGGCGTTGATCAAGGCGATCGCGTACGTCTGAATCTCCTGGTTCGAGCTGCAGGAATCCGAAAGACGTGACAGGCCGCTCCGCACAGCCGGGGCAGCTCTGAGCCAGGCGCCCGGAGCCAGCGGGACCAGCGGGCACCTGCGGGGCCTGCAATACTCACACTTGCAGATGGGAGATGAGCTGCCCCACCGTGATCTCTTCAGCAATCTTCTGGTAGAGGGCTTGGCTGTTGAGCACCATGCTCTCCAGGATGGCCAGGGAGCGTTGCAAGATGGAGACGTCCACCGTCGGCTGACTCACGTACCCTGCAATCTTTGGGCAGAGGGAGGCCCCACTCAGAGCAGAGCCGGGCAATGGCCCCACTGCCTGGATCCCCCCTGCTGCCCCGATAGGCCTTCTGCTCTCGGGCAGCCGTACCTGTTTGATGAAGGTGATGGACACCGTGTCCCAGGAGACGATGCCGTGGTCCATGAGCTCCAGGAAGGCTGTCAGGGTGAATGCCAGCATCTCGCTGTAGCTGCACAAGGACACAGGGAGCAGCCGCTGGAACCGCAGCCCGGCCAGGTGCTCAGCAGAGGCATGCGCCCCCCTCCCCCTGCTGCCAGGCCAGGCCAGGCCAGGCCAGGCCAGGCCAGGCCTCCTGCTGCCCGACGTCTCTCACCTGGCTCAACGCACACCTCCACTCAGCAACCGCCGGGGCCAGCGCCAGCCGGCTGTCGCCCAGCTTCCAATCCCATAACAGCCCATGAGGCGCTCAAGTGGGCAGCTCTCCCCACTCTTGCCTCCCGAGCAACTCGCAGGACGCGAGGCCGCACCTGTGACTTCACAGCCTCACAAGCCACTAGAACCACACCGCACCCCAAAAAGCCCCACTTCCACTGATCATTCGCCAGGCCTGGAGAAGCCCTCCAGGATGAGGAGACGGGGCCCGCCTGGCCCTTCCGGCTGGACCAGAGGTGTCCTCCAGCTCTGCCTCCCCACCGTTACGTCCTCGGCAGAAAGGCCCACATTCTCTGAAAGGCCAATGGGTCCAGCTCTAGCCTAAGAAAGGCAGAGCTTCAGGCAGCTAGCAAGGAGCTTTTCTAGCCAAGCTGAAAGGGGCCAGGCTTGCAGAAACGAGCAGAAGGAATTCCGCGCGTACAGAACATTTTTACAGGCACCCTGCTGCTCGAGGGCTCCCTGCTCAAGGCCGTCCGGAGATGCAGCCCGGTCGTTTGCTTCATTTGCAGCCCACTCGGTCACAGCTGAAGAAAAGCTGTGAGGGAACAGGCCCGAGGCGTCTGTGCCCGCACAGGCTGCCCAGATGCCGCCGCGGAAGCCCCCCTCGTCTCCCGGGGGGATTTGGAGGCATCCAGCTGCCTCCACGGCCGGAGGGGATCTACACTCCTTGTCTCTCGCTGTCTTGTCAGGCTTTGCCTCCATGACCGGCTCCTGCAGCCCTTGCAAGCCATCAGCGCCGTGGCCGGCGGTGCAGGAGCTCCTGCGCTCCTCCCCTCCAGGGTCTGCCAGCTGCAAAATGGCGGCAGAGTCGGGCGGCCCCTTGACAGTCGCCGGTACCGCTGCATGTGGCATCTGACGCGTCCTCGGAAAGGCTCCTCGCGGTGCTGCTTGCTCGGGTGAGGCAGGCAGGGCGCCGGAGGTGCCATGGCCTGGCCTCCCTGCTGCAGGCCGGGCGTGCCGAGCCAGGGCATCCCTCTCTTGCCAGATGTACCCCGTCCCTGTCCCTCCTCCTCTCACACTTAATTCGCACCCCACCCCCAGTGGGTGGGCTCAGCCACCCTGCCCCCCTGCTTTCCACGTGCCTCTGCCTATGTCGGCCTCCCCCTCTTCTCCCATTTATGCCCAGCATTTAAGAGGCCTAGTATCAAAAGAGCCACGTTTTGCTCTCCCCGCAGCACCTGCTGCCACACCTGCTTCTGTGTGGCCAGAGCACGCGGCAGCCACGCACATGCGCACTGGGCAACCCACACTGCTGGGACTCACGGCGGAACCCAGCTCACACTTGGAGAAATACCGTGATGGCAAATTCCAAATTTATTTCTTTTATAACAAGAGCTTTCTGGTTGCTGGCTGGCAGGTAAAAAAAATCAAAGCCAAAAATACCAAGATACAGGCTGAAAGTACAATCTAAACGATTTAAAACGAACAACAGAAAACAACATCTGTACAAGAAATTTGAAGAGTCCTAGACGTATTGAAGAACGAAAGCCCGGGAGAGGGGCCCCCGCCAGGAGCCAGCCAGGCCCAAAGGGCCCTGCCCCGGGCTGGGGGCCCCGCGGCGCAGGTGAGGCTCGGGCTTTGCTCACGTTGCCTGTGAGCAAAGGGGAGGCTGCCAGCCCTGCAAGGTTCGGCTTCCAGAGCGGGCCCCCCTTTGCCTACGTGGGCCACTTGTTTCTTTGTGCATCCCAGGCACCGAGCCGAGCCGAGCCAAGCCACACCACTGCCAGCTGCCTTCTGGGGGTGGGGAGGAGGGCGCACCTGAGGAAGGCAAGAGCTACAGCCCAGGGACCAGGGGCACCTTCACCAGCAAAGGAGCCCGGCGTGCCGGACGTGGCGGGTCCTGATCCCTGCCACTGATGGGAGGCCACTGGAGGCCCAGGGAAGGAGTGGGATCAAACGGTGGTGGCAGCTGTGCCGTAGGACAGGAGGCGGCGGCGGCGGCCATGCTGTCTGCCTGCACCCCCAGGGACAGCCCGAGGTGCTTACTGGGAGAGGAGCTTGGTCCCGCTCTCCACCAGGCGGGTGAGCACCGAGATACCATCCATGTTGATGAACTCGGTGGCAAAGGTCACATCCGCAGAGAGTTTTGCCAGCTCCTTCATGGCCTCCAGCCGGGCCTCCATGCTGTGCACCTGGATCCGATCCATCAGCTGGCGGGCAGCCCTAGACTGGGAGACAGGTTATCCACCGCTGGTCCAATGAGCCCCCCCCCCCCCCACACAGTCAGCCCCCAGAAAGCCCTGGGAGACAGCCGTGCAGCCGGCCGAGGAGGAAGCCACGCGGGGCGAGAGAAAGGGGCCCTCTGGCAGAGGAGACTTTGCCAGACCTACCGGCGAAACAGCCAGCTGCAGGATGGCCCCGTTCTTGATGTCACCACGAGTCTGCCAGACAAAACCATAAAATTCCAGCTTAGTGTAACTGTGGGAGGGGAGCAGAGCAGAGCGGGGAGGTGCGTCCTGACCGTGCTACACCCTGCGTGGAGCTTCCACGCACTTCTCCAGGCTGCAGGACACATGCCTGTGCCTGCTTTCCATGGGGGGGGGCACACACCAACCTGCTCCGTTATGTACAGCTGGGGGCCGTCCGCGTAGCGCAGCGTGTAGTACTCAGGGTTGGGCAGTGACCAGCTGGAAGGGGAGAGCACACGGGAAGGCTGCTTGAGCCCTGCCACCCCGGAATCAAGTCCGAGTGGCAGGGCTGGCAAGCTCCACCCGGAGGCAAGAAGGGCCAAAGGAGGCCAGGCTGGGAGGGAGGGAGGGAGGGAAGGCAGGCCCCCGAGCGCTGCCAAGAGCCCAGCAGCGGGCAAGGGGGCAGCCAGGCCCAGCCAGCACTCACCCATCACACACTTCCTTGATGATGGACACCAGGGGGCGCTTCTGAGAAATGTGCAGGGGAGAGAGAGAGAGAGAGACAGACAGAACAGTGAGCTGAGGGGCCCCGCCAGCAGCGCTGAAGGCTCCCGCCTGAGCCCACCTGGGAAGGCCCACCAGCTCGGCCCCACACGTCGGACACCCAGCTGCTGCAGCCACGCATGGCCAACCCACAGCTCTCACCTGATCGATTTCGAGCAGCTGGGCATTGGCCCCTGGCCACTCCACGGCCACCTTGACTATGTCCGACGGGGGCGGCATCCCTCCGAGTTTCAGCTCTTGCAGGGATGGGGAGAGGAGTGGACCTCCCGAGACTAGCAGGACAAGAGGGCAAGTCAGAGGGATGCGTGGATGAAGAAGCGGGCTGGAGCCCCGGGAGGGATTTCTGGCAGGTGCTCGCAATCTTCTGCCCAACCCGAATACCTCCTCTGGCCCGGACCCCCTGCCTAGGAAGCCCCCCAGATCGGTCCCACAAGGCTGGAGAGAGCGGCATCCCCTCCCCGATGGAACCAGCCCCACTCTGGTGGCTGGGCATGGCCCAGCCCGGCCTCTCAGAGGGAACGGCAGAGGCTCGGTCCCCAGTGGCGCAGCTCCACCTGAGCCGGGAGGCGCACGAAGGCGCAGGCCTCTCCTGAGCCCGGCCCGCTGGAGCGCACAAGAGCAGCCCCCGGCTCAGGCTGGCGGTCGTCTGCCCAGCCTTCTGCCCCAACAGCGGCCACCGGCTGCCCACAGAACCTCCCCAGCCACCGCAGGCCAGGAGCGCAGGGGTCCCGCCAGGCCCCTGAAACGGGACCCCAGATGGCAGGAAGGTGCTGCCTACCCTCCCTCCCCTTCCAAGGGTGGCCACTGGCTCGAGAACCACGGCCCTTTTGCCCCCGAGGCCCAGGAGACAGCAGGGAGACCTCATGAAGCGGGGCACGCCGCTCTCCCGCAGATCCCGAGCGATACTGCTATGCGGCCCCACAGAGAGAGGCAGAGGGTGAAGCCCCCTGAGCAGAGCACAGCTTGCCCCCCCCCGCCACAGGAAACACCGTGCGCCTCCCTTCCCTGCCCCATGGTGTCTCCTTGCCACAGGTGCTGCCCCCCAACCTCCCACCCAGCGGGAAGCCGCTCCCTCCTGGCCCGGTGTCGGGCAGAGGCCTGGCATGGGGCACGGCAAAGGGATGCACCCGCTGCTGTCCACTGAGAGCCGCGGGACCTGGGGAAGGATTTCTGGGAAAATGCTACTGCCCAAAATGCAGATCTGATGCGGCGTCCTTACTTTACCAACACCCTTAGTTTTGTTTCGTCTGCACAGACTGCAACTCCGGCCTGCTACGGCGCCTCTTAACAGCTTTTCCGACAGCCAAAGGCAGTCAGAACTGATACAGGGAGAGCAGATGTGGAACTTCAGCTACCCTACTCAACCGAAAGTGCCACCTGAATATGATCTCTCTGAGAATTTTTGTAAAGATTTAAGCCATGCCAACCCAACCACAGCCACAATGTTGTCACGGCTTGGCAAGTCTTTTGACATAGTGCCCCACAACATTCTGACAAGCAACTCAGCAAAACTGGAATAGTGAGAAAAACTACAAAGTTCAGTCCTAGGCCAGGGGTCTTAAACACCTTTATTAGTAATTTAGGTATGGAGGAACAAAGAATAATAATTGAATTTGCAGATGACACAAAACTGGGTGGAATAGGGAACACTCAAGAACAGTGGTGGAGCACCGGATAACAGCGCACAGAGGGGCCATGCGCCTGCTCGGAAAGGAGTAGCGGCACCAGGCGATGACGCCACAAGCTGAGACACATTAGTTGCGATGCAGCCGAGCTTTCACGTGGTTGCCAAGGAGAGAGAGGTATTTCCTTGGACGGGTTGTTTTCAGGTTTTATTGCAGTGTTGGCAGTTTGCGATAAATGAGCGGGTTTTGGGTTGCAGGTTGGGCACTCAGTCTCTAAAAGGTTCACCATCATGGGGTGAAGGATAGAAAAACAAGGTTTCCTGGCACGATTTTGATGGTTGGAATGTGCTCAGAATGGGCAGAAATGCTGAGCAGTGCAGAAAAAACTACTCAAGGAAGGCTTTTTCAAAATCGCCCTATCTTCCAAGGAAATTTAGCTCTTTATTCGGGTTACGGGTGTGTACCAGGGTAGGGTTAGGCTTAGAAAAATGAGGTGTCCTGGCATGATTCTGAGGGTTGGAATGTGTTTAGAAGGGGCAGAAATGATGAGCTGTGCAGAAAAAGCTACTCAAAGAAAGCCTTTTTCAAAATCGCCCCTTCCAAGAGTATTTTATTCCCATATTAGTGTTAGGGAAGTGCACCAGTGCAGGTTTAGGCCAGTGGTGGCAAACCTGTGGCATGCATGCCATTTGGCACACAAAGCCTTCTCTGTTGGCATGTAAGCCATGTTGCCCCAGCATCACTCCAGCAGCTGAGCATTGGATAACAGCGCACATAGGGGCCATGCGCATGCTTGGAAAGGAGTAGCGGCACCAGGCAATTATGCCACGAGCCGCGACTCATTAGCCGTGACTCACTTGAGCTTTCGCATGGCCGGTCAGTGCTCTGCCAAGGATACATACATATTTTCTTGGATTGGCTGTGAGTTGTTTTTTCTAAACTAAAACCTCAGTTTTCAGGTTTTATTGCAGTGTTGGCACAGTGCAATAACTGGGTTTTGGGTTGCAGTATGGGCACTCGGTCTCTAAAAGTTTCGCCATCACCGGGCTAGAAGATAGAATGAAGACCCAAGGCAATCTTGATACACTTGAACACTGGGCTGAAAACAAGAGAATGAGATTCAATAGGGCCAAGTGCCAAGTCCTCCACCAAGGAAAAAGAGACCAAATACTTTGTCACAGGATGGGGAATACGTACCTCAACAGAACTGAAAAAGACCTTGGAGTTACTGTAGACAACAGACAAAGCATCATCCGACAAAGTGAGGCAGCAGCAAAAAGGGCAAATGCTATTTTGGGATGCATTAACAGAAGTATTACTTCCAAATCATGAGTAGCAGTAGTTCCCCTATACTCCTCACTAGTCAGACCTCAGCTGGAATACCATATGAGGTCCGACTAGCGAGAAGTATAGGGGCACCAGAAAAATTCGAAAGGGACCAGTGGAGGGTGACAAGAATGATCCAAGGCTTGGAAACACTGCCTTGTTAGGAGAGGCTGAGAAAACTGGGCGTGTTCAGCCTTGAGAAGACTGGGGGATGGGACGGGACATGGTATCCCTCTATAAGTACCCCAAAGGCTGTCAAAGAAGATGAATGTCAAGATCTCTTCTTGCTGATACCAGAGCACCGGGCACGGAATAATCAGCTCAAATTGCACCAACCCAGATTCAATTATCAGGAAAAGTTTCCTCACTGTCAGAGCAATATAGCAGTGGGACCAGCTGCCTGGGGAGGTGGTGGGCTCTCCCACACTGGAGACCTTCAAGAAGAAACTGGACAGGCATCTGAGTGGGATGGTGTAACATGGTGTCCTGCACCAGCAGGGGGTTGGACCTGATGTCCTTCATGACCCCTTCCAACTCTGCCGTTTCAGGCTTCTATTCTATGTTGCGAAAGAGCCAGTGCAAGGGTTAGGAGTGTGGGACTGGGACCCAAGAGATCTGGGTTCTAGTTCTCACTCAACCATGGAGCTCACTGGGTAACTTTGGATCAGTCACAGACTCAGCCCAACCTACTTCACAGGGTTGTTGTTGTGAGACTAAGATGGAGAGGAGGAGGAGAATTACATAAGCTGCCACGCGTTCCTCTCAGCCACACAAAGCTCGCTGCACCCTGGGTGTCCATCCGCCTTTGCTTGCGTCTGGGACTGCTTCCTGGGTCACGTCTGCGCAAGGCTGCCCCGCTCTTCATTTAAGTCCATTCATAAAACGTGCATTTTCCAGAGAACCTTGGGATTATCCTCCTCATCCCCGTGCCTCACAGAGTCTAAGTCAGTGCATGCAACTGAGTGAACACATATTCTTCCCACAGGCCTCTTTCTCACACCCATCCTGTCATTTTCTGGGGCCATACTTAGAATGCAAACTTCCTGGGGCAGGGACGTGGCAAGCTGTGAGCAATGGGCAGGACATGCACACAGAAGCTGCTATCTGAAGACACGAATAGCCACTCAGACCACTTCTCCACCCAGCTTAGTGTTGCCCACACAAAGGTCAGGGCACCAGGCGGGGGTGTCTCCCAGCCCTACCTGCAGAAGTGGGGAGGGACTGTACCTAGGACCTAGCAAGGGCTCTCTGGTGAAGGTATAGTCCCTCCCTGCAGGGAACAGAAGCAAACTCTAGCCCACCATTCGGAAAGGTAGAGTCCTGGCTTTGCAGCAGGTCTCCTTGACTTCCCATGATCCGTCATGGCACAGAAGTAACATTGCAGGCCACAAACAGAAGCTCATAGCCCTCAAAGGACTCCTTTAAGTACCGGTTTGCCTCCCAATGAGGAACCAACATCATTCTTGAAAGGGAAGTACAAAAAGACAAGGAGATTTGAAACCAAGGTAATTCTCAAGGTCATTTATGGAAAACTCCTTGCATTTCCCACCTCTAGTGCTGCTGGGGCAGTCGGTGGCATAGACACATAGGAAAGCCATGCTGGCTCAGGCCAGAGGTCCCGCTAGTCCACCATTCCATACCCATGGAGCCAGTCAGCTGCCCACAGGAGCACTCCAGCAGGATGAGCCCAAGCTCCTCATCAACAGGTGTATGCAGGCCTGCCGCCACTGGTGAAGGAGGCAGTTCATAGCCAGTAGCCCCAGACCTTCTCTACTTCCATGCATTTATCCAACCAACCCCTTCTGTAAACGACCTAGATTTAAGACCAACACTACCTCCAATGACAATGCATTTCGTAATTATAACTCGTACGTTGTGTGAAGTACTTTGTCTGTCCTACAAATCTCTCAATCAGCTTCACAGGATGACCCTGAATTTGAGTGTTATGGGAGAGGGACAGAAATGTCTCCTCCATTCGCATCATTCTTTGCATAATTTGTCTCCCCTTACCTGCATTTTTACAAGCTGAACATTCTGTTTCTGTAGCTGCTCCTCATAGGGGAGATGCTCCAACCCCCCTGGGTATTTTCACTGGCCTGTTCTGTATTTTTTCCAACTCAATAAAGTCCTTATTCAGATCAGGTGACTAAAGCTGAACAGAATACTTAACGTGCAGTTCGATCAAGGATTTGTACAAGGGAAGTAAGGATTTGTACTCCTTTTCTAATTATGCCTAGCATGGAACTTGCCCATTTTCTTTTTTCTTTCTTACCATAGCAGCACACTGGATTGAGATTTTCATGGAGCTTTTCCTCTACCACCCCCCAAGATCTCTTTCTTACTCCAGCACCGCTAGTTCCAATCCCATCAGCATGCACCTGCACTTGGGATTTTCCCCCAACATACTTTACTGTACACTTATTATATTGAACAGCATTTTCCACTTCCAGAATGGAGGTGAGGCGCGACTGCTGGAAAACCGAAGCCCGCCAGGAAGCCCGGAGGCACGACGCTGAGCAGCTCGGACTGGCCCTCCCGGCCGCCGGAAAACGTTCCAGGGCCTGGGAAGGGCGAGGGGCGCCTGACCACCTGCCCCTCGCCGTTCCAGCGCCGCTCCGATCCCTCTCCCGCGGGGAGCAACGGGGAGGCAGCCGTCGCACCTCCCGAAAGAGGGCCAGTGCTGCCCCTCAAGGCAGGAAGAGGAGCGCGAAGACGCCGCAGGCCACGGACGTGCCAGCCGCGAGGGATGGAGGCAGGGCTCGGGCCTCGGGCAGAGGGACGGGGCGGCCCGAGCCGGATCTGAACCGCGGCCCGCTGCTGCCGCGCCCGAGACCAGCCTGCCTAGCGCAGCACGGGGCGGCCGGGCCGGGCCCCGCGCGGGGCAGGAAAGGGCAGCGGCGCCCAGGCCGGCCCGACCAGGAGCCGGCGCCGCAGGAGGGCAGCGGGCGGGAGGCGCGGGGCAGCGCCCGCCCCTGCCGCCCCACCTCCTCGGTGCGGGGGGCTGCTGCCGGGCGGGCGGCCAACCGCGGCCTCTCCGCCTCACTCACCGGGACGATCCTCCCTCTCGGCTCCGCGCTGCTCCCGACAGCCTCTGCTGCCCCGCCCCGCTCGGCGGGCACGTCTCTATCACTCCGCAGCCGCGCCGCTCCATTGGCCGCCAGGCAGGCCCGTCTGGCCATCCAGGAGGACTGAGCCTCGTCGCCTGGCAGCCGGCTGCCATGGAGACGGCAGGGCTCCGCGCGCCTCCTCCCGCGCAGGCGCTCCTGGGACGTTTGGCGCGGAGAGTTGCCCGGGAAACACGCCACGCCCCCTGCGGGCGGGCGGAGCCGGCGGAGGAAGGGTCCCCGCGCTGCACCGTGCGATCCGGAAGGGCTCCGCGGTGACTCCTCGCTGGCGGACACTTCCGCTTCCGGCGAGCGCTGGCGGTGCGTGTCTGGGCCGTGGGGAGGCGGCGTCGTTGGCGGGAAGCTTCGAGGCCGGGCCGGGGACCGAGAGAAGGCCGCCACCATGGTGAGTCGCTGGGGAGCGGCCGGGGGGCGGGAGCCCCCTCTCCCGCGCCCGGCTGACTCCCGCTCCGCTCCCTCCTCAGACGGTGGGCAAGAGCAGCAAGATGCTGCAGCACATCGACTACCGCATGCGCTGCATCCTGCAGGACGGGCGCGTCTTCATCGGCACCTTCAAGGCCTTCGACAAGCACATGAACCTCATCCTCTGCGACTGCGACGAGTTCCGCAAGATCAAGTGAGCGGGCGGGCGGGGGCGCAGCGCGGGCGGGACCCCGTTCCGGGCCACCTCCGGCCTGTCCTTGCGCGCTCCTGCTGGCCGCAAGGTCCTCCCAGTCCCCGGTGCGGCGTGAAGCGCAGAGATGTTGGAGGCCCTCCCATCTGAATCAGAAGCAAAGAGGCCGTCCAGCTTGGAAGGCCGCCGATGCGGCCGGCCCCCGCTTTGAAAGGCTCTGGAAGGCGCTGCCGGGCACCTGTACGGCTCTTGCGTTGCCTCTCCTTCAGAGATAAGGACGGGATGAACATGTTGCTGAGCAACACCGAGTGCATGAAGCCCCGCATGGCATTTCTTCAGTTCTGCCATTTCTCCTTGAGCCTTAATATGAAGTCCCTAGCCCTTTCCCCCTTCTTTTCCTACAGTTCAGCCAGTTTCTTTGGCTCCAGGCTTTGCTAGACTTCTTTCTGTAACGGGGCTCAGGGGGCCTATAGCCCTGAAGCAAGGTTACTAAGGTCCGTGCTGAAAATGCAGGCCTTGGTAGCTCAAGGATGCTGTTCTGAATGATACTGGATTGTTGTTTCTTTTCTTTCTGGTAGACCTAAGAACTCCAAGCAGCCAGAACGTGAAGAGAAGCGAGTCCTGGGCTTGGTGTTGCTGCGAGGAGAGAACCTGGTATCCATGACCGTTGAGGGGCCACCCCCAAAAGATGTAAGTAGGGGAGAACTGGGGAGGCCAAATACTGCCTCCTTGAAGTTTTGGGAAAGACATTCCTTTGTGATCCCACCATGCAAAGAGTAAACAAAAAATGCCCAGAAATGCTAGTAAATCTTAACAGCGCCCCTTCAAAATTAACCAAGCTGGGTGGGCTTGTGTATGATTTGCAAGGCAGTTCAACATTTGGAAATACCGCAAGCAATGTCTTTTACATGTATTTTCAAACTGAATTGCTTTGGCTGTCTGGGCAGCATAGAACAACAGCAGGTGGCTTCAAGCATTATTTGTTTGTTTATTTCTATACCATCTGTATGCAAAGCTCTATGGGCAGTTTACAATAAAGTATATAAACAATAAAGTACAATTGATGAAAGCATTAATTGTAATTTAAAATAGCAAGAAAGACCATTAAAAGACAGTAAAAAAAGACCTAGCCCATAAAAGCAGCTGGGTAATTGTGTCAGGCTTCTGAGTGACCAGGGAGGTCTTTAAAGGCCTCTGCAAAGAGGGCTTGCCTTAACTTGGCTCAAAAAGATGGCAAATTCAGGGCTAGGCAGGCCATACTAGGGAGGTTGTTTCAAAGATGGGGGGCCACCACAGCGAAGTTGCTGCCCTCCTCGTCCCTCTAGGGGTTGGCACCCAGAGAAAAGCCTGGGAGGTCAAGCATAGTGTCCCAGATCAGAGGTGGAAGAGGCACTCCGACCGCTGTTGGTGCCCCATGCCCTGCAGTGCTACGTGGGTTAAGACCAGCACCTTGGATTGGGCCCAGAAGCATATAAGCGGCCAATGCAGGCAGGACAGAACTGGTCTTAAGTGTTTGGGCCAACTGGTCCCAGTTATTAACCTGGTTGTCACATTCTGTACCAACTGTAGCTTCTGAACCATCTTCAAGGGCAGCGCCACCTATCTATCTCTCTATCTAGGATATTTGTATGCCGTCCTTTGCGAGAGCCTCAGGATGGCTTACACAAATAAAACACCAATACATAAAAGTATAACATAAATAAATTAATGACCCACTCTGGCTGCAATTAAAATATGGTAATAAAATTCAATATTAAAACTTGTTAAAATCTTGATTAAATACAAAGGTCTTAACCTGGTGCCGAAAAACATATAATGATGGTGTCAGGCGGACCTCTCTGGGGAGTGCATTCCATAGACAGGGTGCCACCGCAGAGAAGGCCCTCCTCCAGGTGCTCTCTCCTAATATCCTTCACGGAGGGTTCCCGGAGGAGGGTCTCTGCTGCTGATCTCAGGGGGCGGGAGGGCAAATAGGGAAGAAGGCCTTTAGGTATCCAGAGTGCACTGCAGTAATCTAGTGCACCTAGAGTGCATTGTAGTATCTAGTGTAGAAATTATTGAAATCGGCTGTGCCTGTCCAGTTAGGGGCACGGTTGGACCACCAGCCGAAGCTGGTAGAAGCCACTGATGCCAGCCGAGCCTCACGTGCCAAAGGTGGCTCAAGGGCACCCCTCGGCTGTGAGCCTGCGCCTCCTTCCAGGGGGTGCAACCCCATCTAGAACAGGACGAACACGCAACCCAGGCAAAGGAATCACCTACCAGCAGCATCTTAGTCTCATCTGGGTTAAGCTCAATTTTGTTAGTCTTCATCCTGTCCGTTGTCACAGCCGGGCCCCGGTTCAGCACATCCGCAGCCTCACCTGCTGCTAATGAAAAGTAGAAACAGCTGCGTATCAGCACACTGATGGCAGCACACTCCGCAACCCCAAATGACCCCACTCATCAGGGTCATGTAGATGCTGAGTAGCATGGGGGACAGGCGGCCCTGAGGGATTCCATGCCACACTGTACTCCCCAAGCACTGCCTTCTGGAGCTGGCCCTCCGAGGAGGCGCAGAAGCACTGCAGCGCAGCGCCCCCACCCCCAGCTCGGCCAGCTGCTCCAGTGGGAGGCGATGGGCAGTGCTGTCGGAAGCCACCGCGAGGCCTGGCAAGCCCCTCGTGGGTCAGCATGCGGGGCCGATTGCGGCAGCTGCTGTGCGAAGCCCAGGCCTGAGCCCCAGCTGGAAGGGATCCAGATAATTGGTCTCATCCAAGAGTGCCTGCATTTGATGGGCAGCCGCCCTCTCTAGAACCTTGCCCAGGAAAGGGATTCTTGCTCCCAGCCTGCAGTTTGGGCTTTCTGGCTCAAGGGAGGGTTTCTTGAGACGCGGCCGCACCAGCACCCCTCTAAGGCGGCGTGGAAGCACTTCCTTTCCCAGAGACTGATAATTCCGCCATTCCAGCTGGTTATCCTTCCTTGCTGGCTTTTCTATGCTAGGATCTGGAACGGGGGGTTGCGTGAACCTGCCTAAGCATCCTGGCCGCATCCTCAAGTTGAAACTCACCCGGTAAAACTGGGCCAGCCTGTGCTGCGCATCTCTCCACCAGCTCCGCTGTTGTGACTCTGGAGCCCAAGTCCCGGCGAGCGCGGCAGGTTTCTTCCTGGAAGTGCCAGCGAGTAGCAGGCCAGAGATGGCTCCAAGTTGTTCCTGGGGCAAGAGTGTTGCAAGCTCTGGACAGCCATCCTGAAAGGGTTGGGTTAACTTGGAGTCCTGCGCTGGGCAGGCGGCTGGTCCTGATGGGCCTCTTGCCTCTTCAAATCCTGCTTCTGGAGGAAGCATTCCGTCAGGAACCAAGCCGATCAAGAGCGCAAGTCAGACCCCGGCATTTTGAGTTGGGTGCAGCATCGGTGGTGGCAGAGAGGGCAGATTGGCCGTTTGCTTGGCAATGGGGAGGAGGTAACTCGTGTACAGGGAAGCCAGGCTAGGGGTCAGCAGCAGTTGTGGGGAGACAGGTGAGGCAGGGGGTAGAAAAGGGAAAAAGGCTAAGTTCCTCCAGCATTTTTCATTTTAAATGGTTCTCAGATCCCTCTTGAGCCGGTGTTGAGTGGGGAGGCGCTCTGGCCAGGAGCCCTGAGCAGCACGGCCCCCTGCAGCCACTCTTTGCCTCTTTCAGACTGGCATCGCTCGCGTGCCCCTGGCCGGAGCAGCGGGAGGGCCTGGTGTCGGCCGAGCTGCTGGGAGAGGCGTGCCAGCAGGGGCTCCCATGCCTCAAGCGCCCGCGGGCTTGGCTGGCCCCGTGCGAGGAGTCGGCGGGCCGTCCCAGCAGGTAAGAGGCATTTCCTCCCTGCCCCGCAGCAGACTTGAGCTTGAGCCCCACAGACTGGATTTGGGGACGTGTGGTGATGCTCCTGCTTTGTGGCTTCCTGTGCCACAGGGCGGGGAGAGGGGAGGCGGTGGAGGTGGGGCAGACACGTGCCAGGGGCAGGTTTCTGACCCTCCTGTGTGCCTTCCCTAGGTGATGACTCCTCAGAGTCGGGGGACGGTTGCGGCGGCGGCGGCGGCGGCAACAGCCAGCATTGCAGGAGCTCCTACCCAATACGCGCCAGGCCGTGGAGGGCCCCCTCCGCCCATGGGCAGGGGTACTCCGCCCCCAGGTAAGCAGCCCTCCTTCCCCCACCATTCTCCAGGCTGACGGGAACTGTGATGACGTGACAGCATCTGAACACCGTGAAGAGCTGGTGTCAAAGCAGGATTACTCTGAGGTTCCTTGGGGGCTACTGGTGGGAGGCCGATGGGGCCCCTTTGCAGCCTAAACGCCCTGCCTCTCGTTGCAGGAATGATGGGACCGCCTCCCGGCATGAGACCTCCCATGGGCCCCCCAATGGGCATGCCGCCTGGCCGAGGCTCACCGATGGGCATGCCGCCGCCTGGCATGAGGCCACCTCCCCCTGGCATGAGAGGTGAGTTAAACTTGGTCAGAGGGAGGGGTCCAGTCAGAGCCGGCTGGCCTGGGCACTCTCTCAGCTGCAGCTCCCCTGCCTCTTCGTTCATTGTGCAGGGAAGAAATGGCAGAGGTTAAGGCAGGTTTGTGCTTGAGGGTCTAATTGCAAAGCTGGTTTTTAACAAGTTGGTTGTGTGTCTGCTTTGACTTTCCAGGCCCCCCTCCCCCTGGCATGCGCCCACCCAGGCCCTGAACCAGCCTGAAAGAGCAGGACTTGTGAGAGTCCACGTTTCATGTCCTCTTCACCACACGAGACTGAGAAAGGTTGTGTATATGTTTTCTATTTTTTGACTGTCATGTTAGCCTTTTTAATAAAAGTTGGGATGCTTCCCGCTGTAGTGCTAAAAGTTCCGTGGGAAAAAGTAACTTGGAGCTAGTATTTCTGGGTGCTTCCATGAATGGTGCCAGAATCCAGCCCAGATGCATGAGAAAAGCCATGCAAGATCTGACCAGCGATGCGTCTAGTCCAGTTCTCTGTGTGCAGAGCGGTAGACCAGCGCCCCAAAGGAACTCTCCACCAGGAGCCTGCCCAGCTCCTCAGCAACAGGGGTATGCAGGCCAGCCACGTCTGCTGAAGGAGGAAGCGCCGGGCCAGCAAGGCTGACAACCACTGAGAGCTGCCTCCTCATGAATCTGCCCAGTCCCCTTTTGGAGCCATCCAGATTGGTGACCATCACCACTTTCTGTGACGGCAAATCCCATCGTTTAACTTAACTATATGTTGTGTGAAGAAGTCCTTCCTTTTAACCCTAAACCTCCCACCAATCAGCTTCATGGGATGACCTCGGGTGCGAGTTTTACAGGAGAGAGAGAGCGGTTCCCCCCTCCGCTTCCTCCACACTGTGCCTTACTTTAAACCCGTCATGTCTCCCGACTCACCCTTTTCCAGGCCGAACAGCCCCAGTCGTCGCTGCTCCTCACGGGAGCTGCTGCAGCCCCTCCCCCTGCGCCTCTCCCTGCCTTTTCCATCCCCATCATGTCCCGAACCTCAGCCCTGACCATAAGCGCATTGTGGCCGCACTAAGGATTTGTGTGGGGGAAGGACCATCTTGGAGGGTCTCTGTTCTGTGCTGCCCCTAAGGGTGCCCAGCGCGGAGTTTGCCCTCTTCGCCGCAGCTGCGCCCTGGGTGGCCTTTCCATCGAGCCGCCCAGCCCCACCCGAGACCCCTTTCCTGGGCAGCCACTGCCAGCTCAGGCCCCATAGCGAATGCTTGAAGGCGAGCCTTTTGTGTGCCCCCAAATGCGGCACTCTGGGTGCTCTTGAACGGCGCCGGCCACCTTGGTGCCCATTCGCCCGGCCTGGAGAGATCCCTTCGGAGCTGCGCCGCACCCCTTCTGGTTTTACCCGCCCGGGAAAGTTTGGTGTCATCCGCAAACTTGCCCACCTCCTGCAGATCATTCATGAACAGGCTGAAAAGCATCCACCCTGATGCAGACCACGTGGAGCTCCGCTGGGGGAAGCGACCACCTGTGCCCACCCTCTTCTGTTCAGTGAGAGCTCGAGATCCATGGCGGGACCCCTCCCCCACCCTGTTATTCCAAGGCTTCTCAGGAGCCTTGGTGAGGGGCTTTGTCAAAAGCCCGTTGGAAGTCCAAGGAAGCAACGTCTACTGGATCACCCCCATCTCCATGTTTATTACCTCTCACAAAGAACTCCAACAGATTAGTGGGACAAGACTTCCCCTTGCGGAAGCCATGCTGGTTTTTCTTCTGCAGGGCGTGTCCCTCAACGTGTTTCTTCATTCTGTTTTGAAGAATGCTTTCAAGCCGTTGGCAGAACAGATGTTACACTAACTGGCCTGTAATTTCCCACATCCCCCCCCCCTTTTAAAAGTTAGTGTTACATTGGCCATTTTCCAGTCGCCTGGTACAAGGGCTAATTTTAAACGTTACGATGTTAAGTATTTTGGAAAGGTCGGCAATTTTGTGCTTCAGTTTAATAATTCTAGGATGGATACCATCTGGACATTGTGACTTGCTGACTTTGTCTGAACAAGAGGATTTAATCTACTGGCCCAATTTCTTGGACTCCCTTCAGAATACATGAGCTCAGGATCTGCTCTTCATCCTCTGCTGTGGAGACTGACTGACTCTCTGCAATGTCCACATCCCCCGTTCGCACTTTCATCCCATCATCACATCTGCCAACTGCTTCCTTCTTTTCACTTGGGCAAACTCCCATTTTGTGAAGGAAGCTTTTCTCTTGCTAATAGCTTCCTTGTCTATATGGGTTCACCATGCTGGTGATTTCCTGGACTTTGTGCTACCTTTTCTCACTTACGGTTTGCATATTATCTGTGCCCCCACGATAGAGTTTTCATCTCCAAGCTCTTTGAAGCAATTCAAACTTCTGGATTCCGCTCTTCAGCTTTTTCTTTGCCTGTTTCCTCACTTTGAAGTCTCCGTTCTAGAATTTGATTTGACTCAGACCAGATGCTTCCCAGCTCCTGTCAGCTTCCTCCAAAAGGCTTTTGCTGCGGCCTCTGTGTGGGCAGGTTCCTCCCCTGAACCGTTGCCATGAAGCCACATGCGTTCTTGGTGCAGGAAGAGAGAGGCAGATGGGAGCGTGATGGTCTTGGTCCTGCGGACTGCCTTGGCAGAGGAGTCCCGAACTGCTTCCAGCCTTGCTCTGAACTGGATCTGGGGGAGGGAGGGAGGGGGGGAGGGAGGCTGTGCAACTGCAGAGACAATCTTCTGCAGCTCCCATGGTCAGTGGGCACCAGCCCATTTACCTTGGCTAGCAAAAAGGCTGCCAAGACGTTCACTGATTGTGAAAATCAGTCTGGGCAAGTAGGAGATGAGCTAGCGCTTCCTCACTGGAAAGGCTCGCGCAGCGGGCTGCAGTCCACTTCCAGCTGTTGCAAACGAGTTTCTAGGGGGGTTTCATGACAGCAAGGCAGCCTTCTTGAGTATCATCAGGAGGTTTCCTGGTCTGAATACACCACAGAGGGGAGGAGGGAGGGAGGGATACACCTGACTGTCCCCCATCATTCTCCGCCACTTCGCTCCCGTTAGCTTTGCAGTAACCAGCGTGAGAATTTCCTTGCTAAAGAGATGCTTCACTTGCTTCCAATTTCCTTCCTAAATAAGCTCTGTTATGCGCCATCAAGTCATCTCTGATTTATGGCAACCCTAAGAAAGAAAGCCCTCCAAAACGCCGTGTCCGTGACAGACCCGTTCAACTGTTCCAAGCCCCAGCTGCGGCTTCCTGTGTGGATTCAAACCATTGGGTGTTTGGTCTTCTCCTCCTGCCCCCGACTTCCCCCACCATTACCGCCTACCAATCACGAAGTGCATGATGGCCCCACCGTCACCCTCCTCCTTGCAGAGCGAGCCCTGGCTTGACTGGCTCTTGGACTCACTTCTCTGCCTTTGCCAGTCCAGCGCATTCACAAAGTGCTCTGACAGCACCATGCCCCGAGCACACCCTTTTTCTTCTGCCTGGTTTCTCCACAGTCCAGCTTTCACACCAGTCCACGGCGCCTAGAAATATAGTGCTGTGGGTGATACTGGCATGGGTTTCCAGTAAAATGCATTTACACTGGAGCCTTTATACTTCCTTCCTGCTGCGAGTTTTAGTATTCTAATTTTTTGGACCCCGCTGGGTTGTGGGCCACTCTGAAAGCTTCCGCAGGGCCGCTGGTCCTGGAACAGCCTGTGTGATCTCTGCTCTGTGTCAGTAGCCCCCATCAGGAGCTCATGCGCTCAGTGAAAAGGGACTTTCAGTGCGCACAGACCGCTGGGTGAAGCTGCATTCAGGCGCTGTGGCGGGGTGGAAAGCCCTGCAGCCACGGGGGCCTTCCACTTTGTGGACAAAGCTCCCACCTTGCCGAGCTCAGCAGAGTAGGTGGACAAAGGATGCCAGAACATCAGCCCCCAGTAATGGGCAAGTGCTTGCTATCACGGGCCATCGCAAGGCCTGTGTTCCGGCGAGACGCGGTGCCTGCGAAACTCTGCCACCCCCGGGACTCTGCTTATCAGCAGGTCGCCTAGTTGCTTCCAGCTGGGCTTGAGTGAGAAACGCCGCGTTGTTTTGCCAGCATTCGGTTGCAAGGCTTTGTGGCATTGGCAGAAAAAGCGGACAGCTGGGTGCTTGGCCCGGCCCCTCCGCCTGGACGCCTGAAGGCAGCTGGCTTCACTGCCCCCCCCCCCCCTCCCCCCTGAAAGGAGCCGGCTGAGTGGGGGGCCACTGGTGAGCTGTTCCATTAGCTCAACAAACCCCCTTGGGCTTCTTGCTGTCCTTGAGACTGAGGCACTGCAGGGGCACAGCAGCACCTAGGAAACCGAGGCTGCTCTGGTCCGCAGTGGGCTGGCTGCGGGAACGCTCCTGTTACGCAGCACTGCTCTGCCGCTGACTGCGTGCGAGTCAGTGCTGCACGTTCCTGGTCAGTAGTCCTCAACACACAGGCATGCCAATCCTCATGCGAGCGGCAGAGCGAGGGCGCAAGGCTGAGCTGCCACACGCCGACTGAGGCAGGGCCAGTGCGGCAGGGCACCACCGCGGGCTTGGCTTCCCGGGACCCTGCTGAACGATGCCCAGCTTCCCCGAAAGGCTTTTGCTGCGGCCTCCGTGTGGGCAGGTCCCTCCCCTGGACCGTTGCCATGAAGCCACATGCGTTCTGGTGCAGGAAGAGAGGCAGATGGGAGCATGATGGTCCTGCAGACTGCCTTGGCAGGAGCCCCGAACTGCTCCTGTCTGTGCCAGCACAGTGCTTCTGATGTCAGCACGGTTGCCTCTTTCGTAGCTGTAACTAAAGATGTTTCCGGTTGAGTTTTCAGCTTTAAATTATGATCTCTCTGCAGAGGGATCTCAGAAAATTGGATCGAGCCAGTAATTGGAATTTGTTTTGGGCTTAAAGCATGTGACACAGCAAGCTTGCTGAAGTGGCAGGGCTGCTTAAAGCCAGGATGAGAGCTAGGCTGGGCTGCCCAGACACAACACCTTGAGTTCCAGCTTAGAAGAAATGAAGACTGTAACTGCACCAGACAGTCAGTTCTTCTATAGGACATGAAGGAGTGATACGCTACATTGTCGCTCTTGTTAATGGCTTGCTATTTTAACCCCCTGCATTGTGGCTGGTAGGGTTTTTTGGCAAAAGGGACAGATGGTCTGGCACATTTTGCTGCCTGAGGGAAGGAGGAAGGTGCCACCCACTGTTTTGTGTACAAACTTCAAGTGGCCTGGGAGCCACCTATTTCCACACATGGGGGTCGTGCCCAGCATCTCACCTCAGGCAGGAGCTGGCACAGGGGGCGCGGGACAGGCTGCGCAGTTCCTCCCCTCCTCCTCCAAGGGCCAGCCCAAGGCCACCGCCTCAGTCCACGCAAGGACAGGGCCAGCCCTGCAAAAAGGCACTCGTGTTTCCTCTCCAGCGCTTTACAGAGATGCTCAACCAAGTCTGGAAGGCTGAAAACTAAGACGCCACGCCATGCCGGGCATTGCAAGAAGGCTCATTCCGGCTCTTACCCACGCCAGCCCATCAATGTGAATGGGAAGAATGCCACCCGCACCCCTTGCATTTAGAAGTGCCGCACCAGCACCGTGGTCCAGCATCAGGACGCCACGTAGAGACAGAGGAGCTGCGCCACTGGGCGGACCCAATTTCCCCCTGGGGTTCTTGCCCGCCGGTGGGCCTCCAGTGCAGGAGCACCTCGCTCAGGCGCCTTGTTCCTCTGTCATCTCCAGCTGAATGTTCAATCAAGCAATGATTTTCACTGCTATTAAACACAGCTCATTAATCCACCACCCGGGAAAGTTGTTCCAGGTTTATTGGGCACGACTTGGTCACCCATTCCCCGAGCTGCCTGCAAAGCGCCTGTGTTTGGAAGGAGCGAGGCACGTGGCAGTGCTGAGAAGACCGACAGCAGTGCAGCCTCCCCCCCCTCACCCAGTCTGGCACACAGTGTCCAGTGTCACGTCCTTGGAACTGCGGAAGGTCAGGCACCCGCGAAAGCGGCAGTGCTCAGGCAAGCACACTGTTGTCCCTGGGACCAAGGGCAGGAGCGACGGGCGCGTGCTCCTGACCGCCTCCTTCCCTGCCGGCCAGCAGAGGTGGCTGCTCCTCCCAGGCCCTCGTGCACCTGGTGCCTGTGATGCCGCTCTCCTCACTTCCTCTTGTACCTGCGCAGGGTCGGGAAGGCAGCACGTCAGTCTTCTGGGGCACAGCGGAGGGGGGGGGGAGGGGAGGGCCCCCCAAAGAAAGGGAGGGCACAGCAAGAGGCTCACCTGGAGCGGGCTTTGGGGTTGCCGCCTTTCCTCCTGGCGGCAAGGCCCAGGCGCTTGCGGTCTTCAAAGGAGGGCCTGCAGGACAGTGCTGTCAGTGTCACAGCCAGGCCAGCCCCACCAGCCGAGCAAATGCTTTCGCGCAGCCCCGCTCCTCCAAGACCGCGAATCTCAGCCTCCCAGGAAGGCCACTGGCAACGGCCCTAACAGGGCTGCCCAGCAAGCCGAATGCTCAGTACCCAGAGCCCCATTCTCCCCCCAGAGCAAACCACAGCAGGAATACATGGGGGGGGGGGCTGTACTCAAAGCCCTTTCCACTCCGCCAGGCTGATACTGACCCCGCACGGTACTGCTTCAAGGCCCTCCTGTTTGTGTTGGTGAGTTCCTCGTCAAACACAGATGCTTTCTTCTTCCGCTGCTGCTGGAGTCCTTCGGCAACAGAGAGGAGCGGCTTAGAAAGCGAGCTGAGCCCCCCAGGGCTGCGTCCTCCACAAACTGGGGAAGGCAACCCACCTCCTGTGAACCCGGCTGCTGAGCCCACCTGCTGCCTCCCATGCACAGAGAGGAAGCCACGGCTGCCTACCTGCTCCGGTCCTCGCCGGGGGATCATCATCCGGCATGGCCCGGGCCCGCGGAGCTCGGCGGTTCCTCTTGGCCAGGCGCTCGGCATACATCTGGGCCTTCAGCACCTCGAACTGCGACCGCTCCTCGGGCTGCAACACAGCAGCAGGCAAGGCTCACGACACCTTGCTCCCAGCGGGGAATCGTGGCCTGTCGCCTGTCGCCCTGCCCAGCGGCGGCTCCCCCTCCCTCCAGGCAACTCTCACCGTCAGCTGGGCCTTCTTCTGGGACTCCTTCATAAACTTCTTCCTCCTCTTCTTGCCTCGCAGCGCCAGGTCAAACTCCTGAAGGGCCTTGGCAACTGGAGGAGGAGAAGGCACGCTAGGGAGGAGTTGGGGCCAGAGGCACCCTCAGCCACGGCCGCCCCCTCGAGCAGGGTCCTTACGCTTCTCCTGCTTCCTCTCCTCCTGAGTCTGGAACCAGCTGCGACTGGCACCCTTGGCTGCTTCCTGAGCCCCCCTCTCCAGCTTGCGTTTGGCGGTGTTGATCTGGAAAAGCGCACAGCGAGATGATGCAGGAGAGCGCAGTTCCTGACACGGCTTTCCAAGGGGGGGTGGGAGCCAAGCAAAGAGCGCTGGCCAAGGCCTCCTCTTTGCAGCTGGGGAGAGGTGCCGTGAGGGATCAGGGCAAGGACGGGACCGTGCGCACACGGCCCATCATCTGCCCACCCACAAGGTGTACATCACATCTTATGCCAGAGGGGACATTTCCAGAACTTGGCCAGCTGAGAAAAGACATCATGGGGCTAAAGCAGCCTGGACCCCAAAATGCATAGTTCTGCAGGAGCTTGCTTTGGGAAGGAGTGGGGGGGGGGGGAAGCAGTTCAGAGGGAGGCACCATGCTCCACCAACCCCTAAAGCAGCTCCAGCCATGTTCTCCCTCCCTCCTCAGCTGTGGCCAGACGCCCACCTCCCGCATTCTCCTCCTCCCCACTTAAAATGATAGGAGAAATGGAAGGGGCCAGGAAGGCCACCCAGTCCACCCACTGCTGGTGCAGGACACCAGTTTACACCCTCCCACTCAGATGGCCGTCCAGTTTCTTTCTGAATGCCTCTAGTGTGAGAGAACCCACCACCCCTCCAGGCAGCTGGTCCCACTGTCTCATTGCTCTGGCAGCGAGGAAGCTTTTCCTGATATCGAGCCTGAATCTGGGTTGTCGCAGCGTGAACGGAGTATTCCATGTCCTGCACTCCGGCATCAGTGAGAAGAGATCCTGACCTCCCTCTTTGTGACAGCCTTGGAGGAACTTCTAGAGGGACGTCATGTCCCCCCTCTGCCTTCCTGACCATGCCCATTTCCCTCAGTCTCTCCTCACAGGGCAGCATTTCCAAACCCTGGATCATCTCTGTTGCCCTCTGCTGGACACTTTCTAATTTACAGGCATCTTTCTTAAATCTTGGTACCCAGAACCGGACACAGCCCCATCTCTTGCTGTAGCGGTTGCAGCAGCATCCCTGGCTTGTGCACGGCAGGATCTGCAGAGAGTGCGCCCACACTGGAGACACTCAAGGCGAAACTGGACAGCCCCTCTGAGTGGGACGGGGTGACTTGGTGTCCTTCAACAGCAGGGGGCTGGACCAAGGGCCTTCACGGCCCCCTCCAACTCTATTCTTCTGGGATGCTATGACAGATACGCACTCTGAGAAAAGACGCAATCCTGTAATCACCTACTGCTAAACTAAATGCCACAGAGTCATCGCATACCTGGACCCTTTCTAGCTCCTCTGCCTCCTCGGTGCCCCCCCCCGCCCCCCCCGTTCACAAAGAGGTGCTGGGGCACTCCTGCACCTGTGCTTCCGAGCGCTGCAGCTCCCGCTCCTCCCGCTCCAGGCGAAGGACCGCGTACACATCCGGCTCCAGCCTCTCGATCTTCTCCCGGAAGCGCAGGATCACGTCTGGGGGGGGGGGGCCAAAAGCAGCGGTCGCTCGAGCATCACGCGAGGGCCCAGGGAAGGGAAGGACCGGCCAGAAACCCACCCCGATTTCACGCCCCCCCACCCCGCTGCACTTACCCTGGGGGAGCACTCTAGCCTTGACCGGGGCCTTGGCGGCCTTGACGATCTCCTTCAGCATCTTGCGCTCCTCCTCGCCCACCAGGGACACGGAGCGGCCAGCCCGCCCTGCCCGAGCCGTGCGCCCCACGCGGTGGACGTAGTGCTTGACCGTGTTGGGCATCGTGAAGTTGACCACCTGCAAGCGGAAACAGGGCCGGGAGCCAAGACGGCCGAGTCAAGCGCAGGCAACCGGGGGGGGGGGGGGGGGGGGGGGGGGGGGGGGGGAGGGGGACACGGGCCTCTCCTGACCGTTTTGACGCCTTCGATGTCCAGTCCGCGCGCTGCGACATCCGTGGCCACAAGCACATCGATTTGCTCGTCCTTGAAGCGCCTGCGGGGGAAGCGGGGTCAGCAGGCGGCCAGCTCCCGCACGCTGCCCCACTCGCTGCCCTTCCTGCCTCCTGCCCCAGCCCGCCCTCGCCCGGTGCCCACCGGAGCCCCTCCAGGCGCTGGGCCTGCGAGAGGTCGCCGTGCAGCTCCCCGACACGCAGCCCCAGCAGGCCGAGCAGGATGTGCAAGCGATGGGCCTGCTTCTTGGTCTGGGTAAACAGCATCACGTGGTCCGGGAACGTCCGTGTCAGCAGGGCTGCAGGAAGAGGGAGATTTGATTTGATTTATTCTATTCTTTCCATCCATCCATCCATCCATCCATCCATCCTGCCTTTTTCCTACAAAGGGCTCAAGGCAGCTTACATCCTTCTCCTCCTCCATCTTATCCCCACAACAATAACCCTGTGAGGTAGGTTGGGCTGAGAGTCTGTGACTGGCCCAAAGTCACCCAGTTGGCTCCATGGCTGAGCGGGGACTAGAGCCCAGACTGTCTGAGTCCCAGTCCCAGGCTCTTAACCACGACACCACACTGGCTCTCCAGATGCATCAGCAGCAGCCTCCTCGGCCCACAGGCTGCCTGGGAGCGGCCCCCACGTGCTCCCACCTGCCACAATCGCCTCCCGATCTCCCTCACGGCTGGGCCGGATGCGGACAAACTCCTGCCGGAGAAACGGCGCCACATCCGTGTTGCTGTTCACAAAGACCCGGACTGGGTTCTTCAGGGAGACCGAGGCCAAGTCCTTCACCTACCAGAGGGGGAGAGACACGCCCACCGTCGCTGTGCCTGTGCAGCCACCCTCCTGCCAGAGCGAGCAGGGCAGCCTCCTCTGGCGGGGAGCAAAGGCGGGGGGAATGCCCCTCAGAGCCCCTGAGCCCAAGAGGAACACTCAAGGGAGCCCACGGCACGCCCGCCACAAGCACCCGCTCCAGCCTCCTCTGTGCTCCCAGCCCGGCCCAGCACCTCATCTGTCATGGTGGCAGAAAAGAGCATTGTCTGGCGATGCCGAGCGCACAGCCGAATTATCTCCTTCATCTGCTCCTCAAAGTATTCGTCCAGCATCCTGCAGAGGAAGAGGAAGCGTATGAGCGAGGCAGTCTGAAGAACAGGAAGGAGGGAGACTGCCTCCCCCCCAGTGCCCAGAAGCCCCGCAGGGTGTGACCAGCCTCTCCAGGTGCGACAAAAGCCCCTCACCGGTCGGCCTCGTCCAGAATGAGGACCTCCACGCTGCCCAGGTGGAAGGATGGGCAGTTGTGCAGGTGGTCGATGAGGCGGCCCGGAGTGGCGATGAGGATGTCGGGGCCCGCGCGGAGAGCGGCCTCCTGGGTCTTGATGTCCAGGCCACCTGCGTGACAGAAACCGCGCGAAGCCCATCAGCCCCAGGACACACCCGGTCACTCTTGTCGCGCCACATTACTGCAACGGGGCTCGGCTGCAGCAGGGAGATGCCGCTCGGCCCCTCCCCCCTGCTGCCCGCCGGCCCAACTCACCCACTGCCAGGCAGGCCGTGATGCTGCTGAACTGGGCCAGCTGCTTCGTGACCGCGTGCACCTGAATGCCCAGCTCTCGCGTGGGCACCAGGACCAGCACGCGGGTCACCGGGGCTTGGCGTGGCTTGTAGATCAAACGCTCCAGGACGGGCAGCATGAAGGCCGCAGTCTTCCCTAGAAGGCAGGGAACGCAGCAAGATGAGCACCGTGCCCGGCGGGCTCTCTCCAGCTGCCCCCGCATCAAAGCAGCCAATTACCTGTCCCCGTCGCTGCACAAGCACAGATGTCCTTCCCCAGCAGCCCCACAGGGATGCAGGCCTTCTGGACGGGGGTCGGCTGCTTGAAGCCCAGCGCAGTGATCGCCTGTTGACACAGCGACGGGGAGCCAGCTTGAGGGCACTACCAGGCAGCTGGTCCCCGGACTCCCCTGCTGCGCAGCTTGGTCCACCAGCTTCCAGTACTGCTGCTCCCCGAACCCTCCTGTGCGAGGAGGGACAGCGCCGCACCCCCACTTCTTTCTGCCAGGCGCCCGCTCATCCCTGCCACCCGCTTTTCTGATCGCCCCACATTTTGCCCTGCCGGTCAGCAGTGCTGTCCCTCAGCAGCACGACTGCCTTGCAGGACCGTATGCAGAAGGCCTGCAACGCAGGACAGCTTTCCCCAGCCATCTGCGTGCTTCCTGCAGGCCCGTCCGAGGGCAATTTTGGACAGAAGCCCTCAAGCCCTCCAGTGCCATGAGATGGCCACAAAGCTGGCCGCAAGCCGAACTCATAACCGGGTTATTCGGATAACCAGTTCTGCTTCTGACTGTTGCACTCGGATGGGCAAGTCCGCAGCACTGCCGCCATCACCACGGCTGCTTTGCTGAACGCAGGCGAGGGGGGCGTGTCATCGTCCGCGATGGCACAGGGGGTGGCAGGGGCTCTCAGGCACGGCAGTCCCACACTGGGCAGCAAGCCCGATGCCCCCCAACCATTTCTAAGAGGGACAATAGTTGGATACCTTCAGCAAAGGCCGGGAAAGGTTCATGTCCTGGAACGACAGGCTGTCATCGTACTGGGAAACATCTTCTTCAAAGAACTGCTCTGCTCCCTACACGTGGGGCGAGAGCGAACGAGAGAGAGGGAGGCAGAATGCCTATCAGTAACGCTGAGGATGGACAAACCCTGCCAGCACCCCGTCCCACCCCCAGTGCCCTTCAGACAAAACGTAGAGAAGAATACGGACTGGCTCCACACGCCCAGGGCTCACCTGCTCTTCGCCTCGCTTCCGCTTCCTCTGTGGCTTCACTTTGAGTGTATCTACAAAGAAGTGGAAAAAAGATGATTGTAACTTCACACAACAAACTACTGCGAGAGTCTCCCTAGCCCTGTGCCAAGAGCTGAGCAGAGTCTTCCAGCCAGTAGCTGAAGAATTCTGGGCAGTTAACAACTCGTCGTGGAACGCAGAATACAAATAGAGAGCCAGGGTGGCGTCGTGGTTAAGAGCATGGGACTGGGACTCAAGATGTTCTGGGCTCTAGTCCCCGCTCAGCCATGGAGCCAACTGGGTGACTTTGGGCCAGTCACAGACTCTCAGCCCAGCCTCCCTCACAGGGTTGTTGTTGTGGGGATAAGATGGAGGAGGAGAATGAGGTAAGCTGCCTTGAGCCCTTTGTAGGAAAAAGGCAGGATATAAATCGAAAAATAAATAAATACGCAACACTTTCAATATGAAGTTTAAAGCAAAATTTCAAACAATTTGAACAACCAAACCAAATCCAATATAATTACACAGGTGGAAAAAAAAATGTTGACACGTTCTGTGTATGTCATTAAAAGCAATTAAGTGCCTTGGCACAGGTGGTGATTTTAACCTGGGAATGAAAGGACAGCAGAGTTGGTGCCAAGCCACCTCAATGGTAAAACTTCCACAGACATGAGGCCACCACTGAGAAGCCCTCTTCCTTGCGGCCACTTCCTGAGGCTTCTTCAGAGGTGGCACTCAGAGGACAAGGCCCGCAGATGGGTGGCAAAAGGTGTTCCACAGGGGTGGCACTCGGGTGTCAAGCACAGGGGCTGGGCCAGAGCCTGGGAGGAGTGTACAAACAGTACTGTAGTGCTATATAGGTTGCAATAAAGACTTTGAATTGGGCTTGGAAACATACATGCCACCAACGCAAGTAGGCAGAAATTAGAATAAGAACGAACATAAGAAAACTCATGTGCGCTCAGCCCACAGAGTCATGGAATAGTAGAATCTGAAGGGGCCTATGAGGCCACTGAGGCCACCTCCACGATCAACGCAGGATTGCAAGTTAAAGCCTCCATACACACAGTGGCAAACCCGTTACCACGGGAACCCTCAAGCAGGGGGCTGCAAGACCTCAGCCTGCCCAGCTCTTCAGCCACTGGCGCATGCAGGCATGTTGAAACCGGTGAATGAGGTGGCACAGGGCCAGCAAGGCTAGTAGCCTCCTCCCTCATGAATCCGTCCAATCTCCTTTTGAAGGCATCCAGATTGGTGGCCATTAGCAATTCCTGTGGCAGCGAATTCTTTTTTTTTTTTGGAGGAGGAGGGGAGGAAAGAGAAACAACTCGCAGTACCTGCAAGATCCAAAGTATGGTCATGCAATGGATTCAGAATCTTGAAAGCAACCTTTCAGCAGTGACTCTCACACAGAGACAAGAAGAACTATTGTGATGGCCAGCACAAGGAACTAGATGAGAACAGAAAAAGAAAAACAAGATTTCTCTTCCAGAAGATCTGAGAAAGCAGTTTCTAGATTAGGAACGTTGAATGCCCAACAGGGGAAAATCTAACCGGGATAAAAGAGATGGTGGAAACAATGTATGGAAAAACTAAGCAGAAGAAATGAAAGGATGAGACTCCTTCAGAGAGGAATCTTACCAGGAAGAGCCTGAGATACTAGAAGGTGAACTGAGAGCTGCCCTGCAAGCCCACGGAAAGAAGGAAGCGCTCGGAGCAGGCAGGGTGTCAACGGAGCAGGCCAAGCTGCAGAAACTGAATCCACCCAAATTATACCAAGAATAAACCAGCAAATGTGAGAAACAAAACAATGGCCCACACACTGGAAAAGTTCGATATGCGTTCCAATCTCAGAGAAAGGAGATGCAAAATGTCCAGCAACTACAGGACCACTGTGCTACTTTCCTGTTGCACTATATGACACAAGAAATTCTGAAAGCTGAATTCCGCAAGGAGGTACCCGAGATCATGCTGCAAACAGACGCTGGCTGCTGGAGCTCACCAAAAATAAAAAGAATCAGAAGACCCCAGGCTATGCTTTATAATCTAGAACAAAGCTGTTGACCATCTGAATAAGACTCTGTGGACCATCCCGAGACCTCAGCAGTAGATGTGACTTGTTCCTTTCCCTAATTATCTCTAACATAACATTCATTTATCTTCACAGCGGCCACAGTCCACTGGGTCAACATTTTTATTACGCGATCAATCACCCCCTCAAAACCCTTTTCCAGCATCAGCACTGGAAATGACATGGTGCCCTCTAGAAACCTCATCACCACGCTGCTAACTCCAGCTTCCGATAATTTATCAACTTAAAATGCCCGGGAGACTCACTACGTGCCGGCTGTGTTGCAAGAACGGTCTACGTGCTCCTTCTCTTTAGCCATGCAGCAACCCACAAGAGGACCTACTTCTCCTTACCCATCATCGTGAAGTTTACTCAGTAGTCTTCTGGAGAGAAAGACTGAGCGACACTTTTATACACCCTGAACAAAAAGTTGGCACAGCACTTTTTATGTCAAACCCAAACCTACAGAAAACAAGCATCATCATAGGTAGCAAAGAATCAAAATGTTGTGTCATTCAAAAATTCATACTATCCACTTTTTAATATCCATCTTCATGCTCGAATGTGCCTGTGAGTTCTTTTTTATTTTGCCCTCAGCTATGAGCTTCTTGTTGCCATGGGACTCTGCTCTTGCTGTAACAGACAAGATGTATAACTGCTTCTCTGGAATGTGTCCCTGGGGACAGAGATGCTGCCTCACAAGACAGAGGCCAAGGGGCGCTTTCTATTGAGCGTAACACGCAATTTACAAAAGAAAGCATGCCTATGTACCACAGCGTCACACCGACACACACTTTGCTAGTTACCTGCTTTCGTGAAGATGCTCTCGTCTGCTGAGGAATATTCAGACCCCAAATCTTCCTCCTCACCGTCATCTTCATCATTTGCCTTATCTTCATTCTCAGGCATAGGCCCTCCATCATCCTTCTGTGCGGTTCCTTCATCAGTCTGCTTCTCCTAAGGGAGATACCAGAAACCTGAAATTTCTTTCCCCGCCACAAATGGTGGAGTTACAGATCCAAGAGCAGAGAATATGGATGGAGCTCCTTTAAGACCCCTATAAAAAGCACAACCATACTGTGGATGCCTCGAACATTTGGCATCCCACACCCCTTTCAGTACCGTGACCCTTTCATGCTTTAGATGTCCAGGGAGCAGTCAGCTATGACTGGCCTATGTGCTAAAAAGACAATTACCTGTCCTTAGCATCCTGTCTCTCTGGCACTGTTGCCCCATACCTAACTGCTCTTACATTCCAACATGTCTCTGCCCGTAATCTTCATTTCCTGAATCCCTACCCAAACGTCTGCTCCCTCCAAAGACTGTTCTGTTTCTTTCCCTGATCCAAACGTTTGGTGATACTTCTTGTAACAGCTCTATAATGCTCTCTTGCTCCCTTCAAGTCTCTCCTCACAACCCACCATTGCCAATCCCACAGCTCCCCAACATTTTGCAGCTTAACCTGTGACAAATATAAGCACATGATAAGTCAAACCATTGCTTAATTCTTGCCTGTTTACTATTGCTTTAACTCCTGTTCCTCTTTCCTGCTGTTTCCAGTGTATTTTTTTTAAGTTCCTTGCAAACAACACTTTGTCATTTTTTACTCTACGAAGTGCCAAGCACACCAATACCTTGTGCTATTGGCAGATTGTTCCTGGCCAGGCCCTCACTAGATTCTGCTGGAAGTTTTCCTTCCATGCTCCTTTACCCCAGCCTACGCAGCCTCTGTTCAACACATGCAAATAATAAGCTGACAAAACTTCTACTACTTATGGCACACAACTAGAGAACTCAGGCACCTTGTTGCAGATGTCACAGATAGACCCCACCTAGCACAAGGAGTCTGTGATTCCAAGCAAGCAAGCTTCTACCTGAGCTTTCCTTTTTCTCCTCACTGCTGCAATCTTCTCATCCAGGCTCGTGACTGGCCTCTGGGCAGGGAGAAAAATAAAACAAGAAGAACAGAATACGGGTCACAGAGCCACCCTCGTCTCGGGCAACCTTCCTGATTTGCTCCATTGCCAGCTTGAGGAAGGGGATGCGGCAGAAGTGGCCGACGGGACTTCTGGGCAGCGGGTCTTGCTTACGCAGCGGACGGAGCTCCTTGAGGGCCACCCATCAACTCTGCGCAAAGTGCAGGACTCGAAGCGTGGCCCCGCCAGCCGATCCTACCGAGCCGATCGATGCGGAGGCCCGCCTGCACAGCGGCTGGGCACGGGCCTCCGGGAAGCGGGCCTCGGCCAGGGGCCGCGGGTCTTCCTTACCTTGCCCTTCAGCTGGCTCAGGGCCTCCGCCCAGGCGCCGGCGCCGGGCCGAGCGAACTCCTTCTCGGCGAAGACGAACCCCGCGGCGAAGTCTCCACGCAGGCCTCGCCGGCGGCCGGGGCCGACCAGCTCCTGGAGGGGGAGAAGAGTGCTTGGAGCGAGCCCGCCCGCCCGCCGCCATGGCAGCCCCGCTTCGGGCGGGGGCGAGGGGCCGCGCCGCCCACCTGCCTACCTCCGAGTCGGAGCCCGAATCCGTCTCCTCGTCCTGCTCCAGCTCGTCGAGGCTCCGCTTCAGGTCGGCGCCGGGCTCCATCGTGGCTCACGGGGACCGGAAGGCAAGCCGGAAGTGCGCTGGGCCCCGCCGGTGCGCCGCCGGCCGCTTTCCGGCCGGAAACGAGGCCGGCCTCTGCGGGGCCCCCGGGCAAGGAGGCCCCGCTCCGGCTCGGCGCGCGGACCGCGGGGCGCCGGGTGGGCCTTGGCCGCCCGTCTCTAGGCAAGGCCCGCGGCCGCAGCCATCGCACGCCGCGAATCTGCGAGGCCTTTTCGAGGAGTAGTGGCGGAACAGTCGCAGCAGAAAACATCCCGTTGCTTCGGTTCGTGGCTATCGTACCCTTTTGGCACTGTCCGTGGGGTTTTCTTTGGAAGGCCAGATGCTGAAGATGAATGCTTTGGCCACCTGTTGAGACGGAAGGACTCCCTGGAGAAGAGCCTGATGCTGGGAACAATTGATGGCAAGAGAAGAAGGGGGCGGCAGAGGATGAGGTGGCTGGAGGGGGTCACTGGGGCAGTAGGTGTGAGCTTGGGTGGCCACCGGGGGAGGGCGGAGGACAGGATGTTGACCGTGGGGTCGCGATGGGTCGGACGCGACTTCGCGCTGAGCAAGAACAACCATGCCCTGCAGATGCTGAGGACTTTTGGCGTGGAAGCGGTCGCCTCAGGGCTCATCTCTGCACGGTCTGCCCCGCCTGACCGCGGGGCATTTCATGTTCCTGCCCTTTGGGGTCTCTGGCAGACCAGCCAGGAGCCCACGCTTGTTCGGTCACGGGCGCATTTTACTTTCCTCAGAGCGCGGCCGTCCCGCTGGCACGGCAGGCAGTGGCCCCAGCGCCGCGCAGGGCACAGGTGCAGGCCGGCGGTCTCCGCAGCACGCCGGGCGCGCCGCCGGCACCGGCGTCCCCTCGCGGCAAGGGCAGAGCAGCCCGCTCCCGGCGTGGCGCTCCGCGCTGGGGCTCGCCGGCCCTGGCACGGCAGCGGCGTCTGCTCCTGCTCCTGCTCCGGCGGCCGACCCAGCTCGCGCTCCACCAGGGGAAGCGCCGCGGCCAAGAGCCCGGCCCCGCGCCGCCCGGAAGGGAGCGGGCCGCAACGCAGCGGCTCCCTCCGCGGGCGGTCGCTCTCGCGGCCCCGGCGGCGCTCCCGCCCGTGGCTGCCCCGGTTCTCCTCCGGCGGCGGCCCGGCGGCAGAAGCGGCAGCGGCAGCGCAGCTCCTGGCCGGAAAGGCGCGCTGCTCGCGGGCTGCGCCGCCGGGCCCGGAAGCGCCCCGCCCCCC